AAAATAGTGTAAAGGAAATTAATCATAACAAAAGTTTGGTATTCGTAATAAGTGTTCCAGCAATATTAATATATATACATATACACAACAAGCAAGATGGGCAAATGGGCACTGGCATTCTGCAGGTTATATGCTCTAGAGTGTGTCACAGCCCGTTAAGTATTTAGATATAGCATAAAAGTCTTTACAGTTGGATAAATGACAGCAGATTATATACCATACACAATTTCTTCCAAGAACTAGGACTTAACATACCATTCATATTCCTTAAACAGGTGAAAGTGAATACTTCTCTTTTAATTCTAAAGAATTCTGACGATGGTATATAACATTCAGGATTGCTAAGATTTTGGACTTTGTCCATTCTCCAGTATTCTGATGAACACAACTTTCCAAAATTCGATGCTTCCATCCTCCTCAACTAAGAGGATAGGAGGCACTTTCTCTGTTGGGTCCATCACAGGACAAATGACGTTAATCCTTTATAAGTGGCAAAGCAGAGTAGGTGCCTCCCACCCTCTCACTTGAGGCCAGAAATGGATCACTTTCTGAAACATGTTCCTTTTGAATACCAGGTGATGGTCAGAGTCCAAAATCTGTGTAATCCTAAATTCTTTTTAATCACTTCTTCATTCAATTAACTTTAAGATTTAAATGTATCAGGATATTTACAAACTGCGAACATAGCAAAATATTTTTATGAAGCTGGAATCTGAGGCAGACCGAATTCATCGACCAAAACTCCATCCTGTAACACAGAGCATAATACGTTATAACTAACGTACTTTTCACTGACGTTTATCAACTACTGTAACGATTATAGTTGAAGACACAGTGAGTGAATGACGGAGGGAACGGATGAGCAAGTGCGAAGCAATACAGATGGAAACTAATACAAAGCAAGGATCTCATGCGGGATGATGATGTTCTGAACCTGTAACCACTTAACCCATCAATGTATTATTTGATTTTGTTTACAGAAGTTAAAACAAAAACAAACAAACTCTGTGGTTTTAGTCCACAAGTGAACTGTACCAACCGAGCGACCACTGCTTGTCAGCGAAGTTAGGGCCAACTTTAGCTGATAGAGAGTGTCACGTGGTAAGCGTAACGAATCCCCATGGCTGTTAATTTCGATTTTCTAGATCGGAGCTGCTATTTACTTGAAATAGCTCTTCAATTATCCCCACGAGGCTGCATCACAGTATTATAAACCCCAAATATTTAAGATATAACAAATTCTCGCACATTTCAAAATGAAGACACAATTGCACTTTCTACAATATTCACCTTATTTCTAATGGAGTCGGCGCCCGGCTCCTTGTCGGGTGCACTGGGAGCTTTAACTGCATCATCCAAGTAAGAACTGTCATCATCAAGCGCAATCTCATCACCCAGGGCATCAAGTTCTGCTTCCAGTTCATCTTCATCAATCTCCGGAGTACCGTAACTTCTTCCAAGAGCTTCTTGAACCTCGTCTGCTTGTTCCAGCATGTCAGCCATTTCATCTTGCATATCCTAAAACGTGTACTTGTGAAATTAAATCTAGGATTGCCATGGCAAAA